CTCTCTCATTCTATACGTTCACCCCCTAACCACCGGGCTCTCGTAAAACAGGTAAGCCGCCTTCCTTTATAAAACTCACGAGGATCTCACGGAGGCGACAGTTTCACCACGGACTCAAGCCACGGCAGTGGCTCCCTTGGCCCGATCACGGGGAATCCCCTAGAGCGACGAGGGTCCCTCGACGAAATTGTGACAGACGCGCAAGTAGAACGAAGTAAAGGAAGAAAGTCAAATCCTTCGGAAGACTTTCATACGGTGGTGAATAAGATACCGCGCGATAACGTGCGTGCCGGCGCGTAGAGGCAACGCGGGGACCACGTGTTTGCGTGGAAAATTGAAATTTATTGTGAAAAAAAAAAAAAAAAGAAGATCGGGTTAAAGTCACGCGAAGATATCGTGGGCTGGGGATCGCCCGGATTACGAAACGATCTTTGACGTATGCTCTGTACCCATAGTGGTGCAGCGGCTTTCGGCGCACCCGCGTACAAGAGAAGTACCGAAAGGCATACCAGAGGTTCGTATCAGTTCCGAACAAACAGGTTTATCTTTGTTGACCGTGCGTGCTAAGACTATACGGGGTGTTTTTAAAGTATTTGGTAGTAGCGCAGGAGGCTCGTTAATCGTTCAGGCTCGTTTCCACGGTAAAGGTATATTTGCAAGCAGCAAATACAACCCAGGTTGAACGAGGTAGAACGAAAAAAAAAAATTCGAATTTTCGATAAATTTTAAAATTCGATATAACCAAAAAATATGATAATTTTTTCCTAAATCACTATTCGACACGAGCGTCAAGCATATATTTTCGGAATCGTACCGGGTATGCTCGTTAAGTCATATCAAGTAGGTTATATCGCGAAGCGTCAAGGAAGACGGGGAGCGTCGTGACCAGATCTCTCAGGCGATACGGCCGCTCTTTTTGGTTTTTCGAGTCTTTCCTCTTTGATCTTGGAATCGGATGCGAGGTAGGTAACGAGTCCAAACGAAAAAGGTAGCCAAGTCAGTTACGAGGTTGCTCACCGGTGATGGTCTCGGCGTCGCGTGTGCTAGCGGAGGTGGCTCGCCGTGTGCGCGGTACCTTCAAGGCTTGGAGAGTGGCCCTCGTTGTGGAGGACACCTTCAAGTCCTTCAGGGCGGTGGAGGCGGTTGGTCCTTCGGGCCGCGATGGACCCACATCCTCCACGGCGGCCAGCTTGGACGATGTGGCGAGGAGCGAGATCGCCTCACCTTCCTGTAATGAAGAAATTTTTTCAAATATAAATTCCATATATCTTATCGACGACAAGATGGCGAAAGTATCGTTTGATTTATTGGAAGAAGAAGAAAATCCTCCCTGGATAATCGATGCGCTCGTTAACTGATCAATCAGCGTAAACGTTTGTCGCGGTACGGTTAATGCTTTTCGTTCGGCTAATTAGCTCGAGTGTCTATATTGATTTTCAAATGAGAACTTCGCGCCTTATTAACGACCGTAATCACGAAATATTATTAGAGTCATTTGTCACGCGTGGAGTGTGAGTATGGAGGAAGGTTAATTAGCTCTCTTGTTTTTTTTTTTTTAAATCTTCACGCTGGCGACATTCGTTAGGCTAATTATATGCATCGACGAATATCAAGTATCTTTATATTGAGACTTGTCGCGGGAGCATGGTCAGCGACTGGTCATTCCACGAGACGCCACGTGCGCGATCTACGACAACAACGAGAACACGTGCTCAGCTCGATAATCAATTCGGTATGGGTAGACGGACGTGACTGTAATGTAAATTAAAAACTGGTTTCGTGAATGCCAAACCAGTTTAAGGTACATCTGACCATTTCAGTAGTCCTGATCGATAATTTAGAATTAAACAATTTTAGGTAGATTTTTTAAAAATTTCATTAACATACAATGACACGTTAGGTTGACAAGGTAATAGACAATTTTACTAACCGAATCATCCAAGCTTAATGCAAGGTAAAACTCTAAGTGGAGGATCTCTGTCAGTAGTACTGGTAACCACGAGTGCGAGAGAGATGAAAATATAGTTTTCGATTCGTGGCTGAAAACTGGTACAGAGGTCTTGTACTGAAGCATTTGCCTTATTAGTAATTTACTGAAATAGTCAGGAGAGTCAATAAATCTATGAGCATTGATTGATCGATTGATCGTACGTATCGTGATATCGTATACGATACGTCAAGATTGGTAAAATATCACTTGAAATGTCTTTACGTCCCACTCACCGTTTCTCAAATTTCATTCACTCGTTTTTAAAAGATCGTCAACGAACTTTGAACCCTAACCCCACGTTACAACCTGTGACCCGTTAACCGAGCGTAGATCGGAGTCATGAAATCCTTATTGTTTGTCACCAAACGGTACAAAATGGAATTTGAACTACCTGAGTCCTTTTCACAAAACGCTCTATCATGAAAACGGTCAGGGTTGAAACCCAAAGACTAATCACGAGCGCCAGTGTAAATTTTCTACTATAGTCGAAAACACTCAGAACAGGAAACACGTGAGAAAATAGAAAAGGCTGCTAACAAAAAAAGAAAAAACAAATATTCAATACCTCCTGAATCTTGCGCAATTTCCATGGATCACAAACACTCGTCACATGGGACATATGCGTCTGTAGAGAATTCATACAAAAAAAAACTGTCACTGGCAAAACAATAAAAGTGAACGAGAGACACGAATATTTTTCACTGTCAAGTCAAACTCCAATGAAGCTACGTATACGTAAACAACAAAGCATAACTAGTTATATCTATATATGAAATTTGATAGAAAACCGTTGCACCCAAACAGCACGGCCACTAGTCACGTGTACTGAAATTTCGTAACGTCTCGGCCGAATCGTACGTAAACCGGGGGAGAAAAAAGGACTGCGTGCAATGTACGTCAGGGGGAACGAAAGGAAGGACGAAAACTGTTCTCAACGAGCGCTGTCGCTCTTCGAAGTCAAAATGAGTCATTGGGCTCGTGTCACGCCTCTGCAGGAAATTTTGGTCACTGACCGACCGAGCACTGACTGCGATCTCAACGACGTTGATTACTCGGTGTCGGACTAGAATCACCATAGATCATATACTGCCTAGGATATCTAGAGCAACGACTGCACGCCGAGTCAATGTACGGTGAAGCGCAGAGGTTAGGAGAGAGGGCGGGAATTTCAAAATCAGTTTAAATTCTCAGTCTGACCAATGGCCTCCTAAGGTTACAAACTTATTTACGTGTATACTCCGGGGGGGGATCTTGACTCATGGTGTAAAACGGATTTTTTATTTATTTATGGCGGCTAAAGCGGATTCCATGGACGAGTCTAGAGAGCACGTCGTTTTTAGACGCCCTGCGTCACGACGACGGCAGGACGCGACCGTTTTTCTCCTATTTTAGGTTTATTTCCAGGCGTCCTCTGTCTCGCACCACTATCCAGTCGCAAACTGGAGTACGCCGTTTCGGACATTTCGAAAAAGTCCATACATAATATCGAAATAATTTTTTACGGTTAAAATAAGTTACCAATGATTTTTATGTCTCGTGAAATTCGCGCTTTATGTAATACATTACTTATGGCCAGCAGGAAATTGACGACAGGACAAGATGTGCCTCGAGCATTCTCCTTGGCGACGAACTTGACGTAAATACGACAATGCTATTTTGAAATTTGACGTCAAATTGGTATAAGTAGACTAGTCGGTATATTCGGTGATGACCGCATTAAAGAAATTCGAGTATCCTAATGAACGATTACACGTGACGGTTCTTACAAGGTTAATTGTTAAAAGTTGTATTACGCGACAAAGGTATTGAATATTAATTTGTGTACGATTACTGATTTAAATACATTTCCAAGCAGCTACTGCAGCAGGAGCGCGATTAAGTGGGTCGTAAGGTTTCATATCGGTTGGCAACGGGCGTGCAAACAAAATAATTAAATAATTAACACTCAGCGCGTCGAGGACCGTCAGTTGAAATTTAGGTTACCAACCCTGCATAAGTGTAGGGAACTTTCACCAATTGAATTTTTCCAAGGCTAGATAATTTTAGAGAAATTTTTGAAGGTTAGCTTGGAACAAGTAATGACCTCTACTATCGGAGGCGGAACCATTAAGGATTAATAGGTATTGTTCGATAAATGGACGATTCGGGTAACGGCAAAGAAGAATATACGAAACATTCATTTTATAGTGCCATTAAATTAAAACCTAATCAATGTTAATCGCACTTATGAAAAAATCGTGAATATAATATATGTATATATATATGTTTGACGTACTCGCGCGTTTATCTCCTGCAAATATACGCAAAATAAGAAACGAGCAGATATCGATATAGATACGTTATCGATATTAATGAAACGTTAGATAAGGTAAAAAGAGCAAACGAGTTTCACAGGGTACTGAAAGAGGTACGAGACAGATCGTATGCAATTAATTGGTAAAATAAAAAAAAATATATAAATCACTTAAACACATTGAAAACTGGGTCCAAGTCCTTATAACCAGCCCCTACAATCGCTGAGTAATGAATCGACTAAATATTATAGTTATATCAGCCAAACCGAATCCATATTTAAAAACAAAAAAAAAAAAGAGTGTATTAAACACCCATAAACAAACCTCGGTATAAAAGTCATATCCGTAAATAGGAAGAGGAGACGGTTGAAATCCGAAACGTGTTCTGCACATAACCGATAATTAATCGTGAGCCACGACTATTTTCTTGTTTCCTCTTCTTCGAAGCCAATTTAAACCACGAATAAACGGGACATGCGGATATAAAATTTTAATTGCTAAAAACACTGATTCGGCAAAGAAAAATTAATCGTAATGACTAACTGGTCCAGGTGTGTCAGAACCAACTCGGAGCGTGACTGTTGGCGTCAGGTGGAAGTCCGTCCATTACTTTGCTGGAAACTTCACGTGGTGGGGATCACGAAAAAGGCTCTGGAGTAGGCGAGAGTATCGCTGTGTGAGGGAGAGAGAGAGAAAGCAATTTATTCGAGAGACAAAGAGAAACAGAGAGTAAGAGGAAAGGCATACATTTCAATATTCGCATGACCCTCGTCACGTAGACCTCAATGAGAATTGCCTTCCACCATTTTACATTATATTATTCACGTAGGCCATTTCGGTCATCTGGGCCATTTATTGTTACAACGTACATTTCAAAATCCTCGTTACAAGCATTTCGTGTCTTTCATTCGGCACTATCAGTCACAACGTCACCTGACGTCTGGGTTACACGCCTGAGATTATTTAATCGAAAATTCTTATCCACGTGATAATTAAACAGGGACTTTCGATTTTGCGGCTTATAGGAATAATGGTATCCTTGTAGCGTACGAATTATAGCGAAACGATAACCTTACTGCGTTTCTATGCGATACGTGGTTTTAGAATTCACCATCGATCCCAGTGTCAAAAATGCCTGTGCACGGTGTCACATTAGTGAATATGTATTATTTGACAATTTCAATGATTTCCATTTTATTTCTCTCTCTCTTAACTACTACCGGATGTATATATACGTTGTGCGTCTGTAACTGAATTTCTTTAATTTAACTTCCACGCTACCATCCGACGAGACTCGTAACCCATGTGTACCGAATCACATATGTTCGTCTCCTTGTAAATAGCACGTGGCACCACGTCATCGGAATAAGGATAATTCATATCTTGTCGTATCGTTTGATACAGAGCGTGGATGCGAAAAAAGAGGCATTAATTTCGTCCCCAGAGTAAATGAAAATCTCGATAAGTACAGTTGTACTGTATAATTAGTCAATTAGGTAACATGGACAACCGATGATTCTTAAAGTCTTTATGTCGTAACATCGAAAGCTTTACTATCCGCACTAATTAACCGGAGTAAGACCGCTTTGACAATCTGACCCTATATTTAGGCATTAAGTTAACGATGTTATAATTATCGCATATATAATTATAAAAAGACAGTAGAAGACTCGGGATGACTTAATGATTTCAGTCGTTACTCCTTAACTGCTGATAAACAATTAAATTACGACAGCATCGTCACACGAATTTCATCTTAAACCTATAGGTAATAAATAAACGTGTAATCGAATGTAAACACGATATTACACAATGACAGCGGGTCGATTGTAATCCGTGAAATATTGTTCCCGTTTAAAGGAGCGTTCACAATTGTGTAAATTGCGCAAATTCACGCGACTCACGTGCCAATTTTTGCATAGACATTTCCTTAGAAATAAATAAACGCGCGAAAGGCGAACAAGCGAAAGAAGGAAAAGAGTTCGAAGACTGAGGTGAAGTAAATCATCGTTCCTACCGTTCAATGTGAACGGGCCTTATTGTTACCATAGCGCCAAGGTCTTTGTGCACCCAGTTTCGCAAGGGTCACGGCTCACTTCAATTGTCGGTAGTTGGTATTTCCGGCATCGCGATACCCACTACCTGACTAAGGGACTGGGGATCAGCCATTTCACTTGTACGATTTATAACAGGATCTATAGTGATTATTATTCTATGCGAAACGTGTAAATTCGGCACGAGACACTCCCGACTAGATGTGTGACAGAATTGAGACTCTTATAAAATACACGCTAAATGTAATGAGTACCCATCGATCTTCGAGCAATCGTTGAGCTCGATAATTGATAAGTCACAGACTTTTACAGTAACTCGTCTCCGACAGATAAGAGCGACGTCGTTGTAATGAGAAAGATTTTGTTACATCATATCGGTACAGTAGGCAACAGGTATGAAAAAGATACGATTTAAAAATGTCTCCTGCAACGGACTGAACGGTTCAACGATTGCCAGGAGGATAGGCATTAGTTGTATGACACTTTATAAAAGAATGATTAAAGAGAAATAGATATATGCCGAGTAAGAAATTGCATGCGTGTACCGTATGACGATAATTTAGCACGATGGCAGATTTAAAGTCGTTGAGATCGTCTACAGTGATAATGCCCGGTTAGAAACAGGCAGTTGTGGACATTTTTCACAGTTGCCGTTGTAACATATGTGTCAATATTAATTACAGATTAATGAGATATAGGTATTTTTAGATTGATCTTCTATTAATAAACCGGGTATCCCGGAAAGGGATTTTTTTAATTATTGACCAGCTATTAACGTTAGGTTTCAGGCAACGGAAGCCTGAGTTACGACGAACTGATCCGATCCGAAATTTTGTGCGCTGAAGTCCTGCGACATCCTGGTGACATTGTTAACAAGATTTTCGGGCTGACAATTTTCGTCCTTTCTGTTTCGGTTTTTTAAAGCTCGTTTCTTCGGATCTCCGCCAAAGCAAAGGTCCTACACAGCATCCGGGAGTTGATCTCTGCCGCATTTAACTATTGGCTCAGGAACTAAGTGATGAACAGTGGATACTCCACGACGAATATAACACTGCTCATTGTTTTAGGTGGAAGCTAAAAATTATGGTTATCACGTAAAAGATTCACTGATTGTCTACTGAATGTGTTTTAAACTTTTAAACAAATAATCACCAACTTTTATTTGACTGTTCCTTTGGAGCTTCAGTCAGTGAGGTATCGGCAGGTTGACTGTGAGAGCTGGTGTACTTTTAACTTTAAGGTCTAGGGCGCCTCTGGGTATAGACAAAAAATGGAAGCTGGAGATGCGTCTGGTATAATCTCCGTCGCAAATGCGGTGAATCGTGATGGGATGGGGATCTATCCACGTATTCGCTAATCATCAATATGGGTGCCTCGGCTTATCATGAGATACCTAATGATGATACGGCGTACAGTCAGCTGAGAAACTCATGTGATTAATGATCGTAATAAAAATATTAAACGTAATCATGAAGTAGCGATAATGGATGGTGAAGTTTTCTCACCAGTCAAATTCTTAATTCTCTGCGCACTTGAGGTTCTGGGAACAACGGTGAGGTAACGCTGGATGAAAATAACGATGATGATTGTTGACGTTTCTATGGGAGATGAATATCATAGGAGAGATTAGTACTGGCTGTACGAATGAGGAATTTTTTAATGGTTCAGTGGATATTGTATTTCTTGGATGGTAAAGATAAGAGTTATTGATAACTAGGAGAACTTGTTCTATAAAATAATCTGGCGTTATGAAAGATTTTTTTATTTTTCTACGTTGTTCAAGGTGTACGTAAGCCAATGTAATCTAATTGTAGAGTCGTGAAAAACAAATATATATTGACTCATTGATTGAATTTTGGATAAGAATTGTAGTAAGTGTACAACAAAAATAATTCTTCATAAGAATAAGTCGCGGTGTTACTATATTAGCGTAAAATAATATATAATAAAATAGTCTGCTTTATTTAAAAATAAATGAATAAATTAAACTAACATTAATCATCAGTTATCTTAACTGTGTGTAATGTGTATAGTAAGGGATTCTGGTATCTTGATATTTTGCCACATTTTGTTTTAGGAAACCATTTTTTTGTACAAAATTATCTTTTTTGGTTTCAGAGTGTATACTGCGTACGTTGTGTATGGTATTAAACGGTGTGGAGTTTGGCGGAGTTGCCAGAGAAACTTTCAAAACATACTGTACAAGCTAAGTCCGCCCAACTCCTGGCAAGATTAAGGTAATGCCTGGCTGATACGATACAATAGTTATGTAGCCTTTCAGTGCTCTATGGTGCTCCCGTCGGATTGCCCACCGCTGCGGAAAAGCGATCTTTATTGGAGTAAAGAATACCCCATCACTGCTACAGAAAAAGGTATGAATTCCTTCCTCTTAAGTACAAACGTAGTTGTATAACAATCTATTTAAGAAATACCTATCCAACAGAGCATCTAGTAAGGTTACAGAGACCGGCTATTCAAATAAAATAAAGATGAGACAAGATTCATAGGAAAATTTCATATATTCCTGCAGAGAATCTTATCAATTTTTAGAAGCATTATCTCTGTGTCAATTACAATGCAATGCATGGCAATCGAACTCTCAATGGTTGTAAGAATGTATTATCTAAACGCAATTTGCATTTATTAAAATACTTTGAAGTTTATCAAGATTCTTTCATTCACTCGTTTCATTCGCTTGTTAATTTCTCACTTTTACTATTCTATACTTTGCAGTTTTATATTTTGACATCTGATTGAGTTTTGTGTATAACTTCCTCTATTTTGTTAAAAGAGTGTTTTTATACATAGAAAATAATTTGTTCAATACAAAGATCCAGATTACTCTTGAATCTTGAATTTCCTTGTTTAGAGAAGCACATCTTTATCAGTCGAAGAAAGATAAGTTTATCACAGAATTGAATCTGGCTTTGAGTAATGTTTATTTAAAGAATACTCACCGATGGAGAGAAACCTGATCCTGGTTTCCAAAGGAAACCGTGTGATCACCAGACGAGAATGTCGTATTTGCTCTGAAATTATATAAAAATGAAAGAATTAGAATATAGGACCATGGGGAACGTTAGCTTATCAGAACATTAAATTTTTGGAATCCTAAAGCGGTTACCTATTTATACATTGGTATATTAATAGCATGAGTAATCAGAAATTTAACCTGTAGCATTTCCTTAATCATTTTTAACTCCACAGACATAACTTCATTAGTTTTTAGTTCTTGCCACTATACAATCATTATATAACTAAGGTAACCTCTTAACATCTGTTATAATGTTAAGAAAATTCAGTGTTCACATTGTTCGAGACTATTCATTGAGAATGTTTCATTGACGACTACTCAAAAGAAAAAAAAATTATAAACATCCTTTTACTGAACTGTTGATATTCTTACAAGAATGGCACATTACTATTCAGAGAAAAGATATTGTGACAGGTATTGCATGAACCGCGAAATTCCAAAATTGAAAAACGCAAGCATGAAGAACAGAGTTCACAAAGTGACTGACCGTCATGAAGAAGTGAGTCCTGTGTATCATTAATTCCATGCATTTCGTCCTTTCCAGATAAATCAATAAGAAACATTCCAAGTACGCGTATTCGTGAAATTAGGTTAAAGAACGTTCATCGGCAAAAGCGATGGTCGCAGAATCGATTTTGTCATGACTTGTAGAAGCTGTCCAAGACCTTCAAGCTAATGTTTTCAGATGCAAAGTATTGTGAATAATTGTCATAACATAAATATGTGTTCACTTACCGCGATATCGTCGTCGAAAGTCATTCTGTCCGTAAAAAAATCAGAGTTTGTTGACGAAACACCGCTGCACTTCACGAAACTGCCATTTTTCGTACGTCCCGTTAGCGCTTGCTCCGTTACATTTAACAATTTCCAGGGATATCGTGTTCGGTCCAGAACTTTGTAATGATACAAGTCTATCGGAAAATCAAGTTAGCACGAGTTTTCCGTCACGATAAGCCCAACCAAAGTAAACGTTAATTGGTAAAAAGCCGAGATACGGCGGCCGTGCGCTCAGCGCTAGGACGAGAGCAGACGAGCACACTAAGCAGGTCTGCCAACGTGGAGACGGTTTCTGGGGAACCGCTGCTAATTATACTTTTTCGCTTCCATTTTTCGTGCTATTCCTACTGTTTTTACTATTTATTACCGTCTGTTATGACGTTCGAGGTAATTGTTTAACTTTAAAATCGGTCGTTTGAACGGCAGCCATTTTGTACAGTATTAAATTTTCAAAATGGTCTCCGTGTTGACGAAAATTTTAGATACTTTTTTATTTTTGTTTATTAGACGATAGCAAGACGATAATTGTATCAACTAGGGTCATAAAAAAAACAAAAATTAATCTTAGTTATTTATGCGTATTTAACATGGTTTGCAGCAACAAAAAAATATTTTTATATACAGTTCGTCCAGCAGATTCGAATTATCCCCATGAACTTTAGTTTGCTTAAATATCATATAACAGAAACGATAGTTGTCGATTTCGGAATAATTTGAGGACCATTTATATATATACATTTACACATATATATATATATATATATATGTATATGCAAATCATAGATGCAGTATATCGAATAAATGGAAGAAAAAGAAAAAAGCTCTGAGCGACAATCTCATGAATTTCAACTGCTAACTCCCTAAATTGGCAAGACTGAATCTCCGTCCGGAAATGGAATATTCTCTTACGAGGCGGGAAAATCGCAGCGTCGTCTGCTCCTTGCAGAAAGCTGGAAAAATAATGATTTTTTGATATTTTCTAATCATCGATTTGTCCCTTTATCTTTTTTCTTTTCCGCGTAAAGATAATTCAGACGAAATAAACTATTTGCGTAACCGCAGAATTCATATCAAAGTGTACGCAGCTACCTAGAGGATTTTTATGCCGCGATACTGGCAGCCCGGATATCGATTGTCATTATTTATATCGTACGTTTCCTCTTCAGTCATCGATTCACACTTTTTACATTTTACATTTTTACAGTAATGAGAGAAGAATTAAGTTTAGCCTAGCCGCCGCTACGGTGTACTCTAAGGTTGCCCCATGTGTGATCCTAGGTGGTAGAGAGTGTGGGGGGCGCGAGAAGAGACGCGAACCGAGAAGAGAGAAGATAATGACGGATAGCCAGCAGCAGTTCTGCTTAAGGTGGAACAACTTTCAGGCCAACATCACCAGCCAGTTCGAGGCCCTGCGCGATGATGAGGATTTCGTCGACGTTACCTTCGCCTGCGATGGCAGGCGACTTCAGGCGCACAAGGTTGTACTCTCAGCCTGCAGCCCTTACTTCAAGGAGCTCTTCAAGGTTAGAATACTCTCCTCTCCTTCACCACCGTACCCCTCGCCATGCGTCTCCTCCATAGACAGTAACGTCTCGTCCTTCTTACTCCTGCTGTTAGTCTTATGCCTGTCTTTTTTCGCTTCTATTCCTTATCAACTTACTTTATCTTATTTTATCAGGATTCATTTAGTCATAGATTTTGATTTCTATGGATTTTCAGTTTTTCTTTCGGTCTGTCTATTGATTTTTACTTTTTCTCTGGTGTGACAACAGTCACTTTGCTTCGGAGGATCATGATATTTTTGGGATGTACTGGAATGTGATTAAAAGAGCAGTTGGCAAGATATATTTACAAATTTTATTATACTCAGATTTTTTAAAGTGTAGAAATGATGTTAGACTTTATGAGTGATCAGAGGTAATTCACATTTTTGAATGATTTCTAGATTTTTTTATAGTAGGTAAACAATAGATGTAGGATATACTTAAATATTCAGTTTGTACTATGCAACTGGCAGCGATCAAAGTTATACATACAATATTTATTTTTACCCTAACGTGTGCAGACTTTAATAGTGTTGATATTGTATAATATTCATACATATGGTCAACATTTTGGTATACATTTTATCATTCTTTTTTTCTTATTGAAGTAGAAAGACATATCGACAGTCATATCAGAAGAGGTTTTACAGTGTTATGTTCTAAATTTTTACACATGTTTTGATTACTAATTCATTATTTAGTATTTGACTATTTGCAAAAAGTGTCCTCTCTATTTCTGTCTGCTCCAAAAGACAGGTCACCATAATCATAAAGTTACGTAATCCTCTCTGAATGTCTGGCAGGCATAACCAAGATCTTTTCACAGCAGATCCAATTAGTACAACAATGATTAATACTAAAAAATACTCCTTTGTACTCAAAAGGCATTCTGCAATATGTACATATTGCAAAACCAATTATTGCACAATATCAATTGAATAGATATTCCTAGCATAGTTAATACATTGTCACTACACGACAGGATAAGCCTCGATATAAAATCAAATATCATCGAACAATTGCTCAACGTAACAACAGTCACAGTGCCATTGATCAGTCATCAAAGCATCGCAGCAGTCAATTTCTAATGACGAACATACAATTTTGTTTAAAGACAAATCCATGCAAGCATCCGATAATCTTCATGCGGGATGTGGAGTTTGAGCACCTACAGTCCCTGCTGGAGTTTATGTACGCGGGTGAGGTGAATATCTCGCAGGCCGAGTTACCGACGTTCTTGCGTACTGCAGAGTCCCTGCAAATTCGTGGTCTCACCGACTCCCAGAGCCAGCACAACAACGAAAAGGTATAGGCCATAACCGATAACCCAACAATATTAAAAAATAAAATAACCCATAAAATGTGGAATAAGCCTTTTTAAATAAAATCTCTAGCTTCTATTGTCTCCATTGCATTGATAAATTATTAATGTCCTAATAATATCCTTTATTCATAGCATTCGAAGACGAATAGCGTGCACGCGTCAAATGGTCGCGGGCTGATCTCACCGACCTTCGAGGACGAGCGTAGCAAGACACCACCTGCGACGAGTCCACCACCACTTAAACGGCTGTGCAAACGAAGTGATTCGCCTCAAAACTCTAGTCCGGTACCCGCGGTGCCACCTTGTGCTACAAGCACAACGCGTTCTCGCCCCCTAATCGAACCCCAGGTCCAACTTGATTGCTACAAAGATCTCGATGTCGTTGAGGTTTGTGCGAGAGAAAATAGTAAAGAGCATTACTGTATTTCTGCGTTGATTATCCTCTTGCATGATTACGTATGGCTGTAAAAGAGTCGCTGGAATTGACATAAGATTTTGTGGTATTTTAGCCAAAACTAGAGTTACCCGAATATGGCAGTGATGACGATTGCAGTACCAAGCAAGAAGTTAATGCAATACCCGGCGGCTTTCTCAGTCTCGATGGCGGCATGGAGGTGTTGCCAACCTACCCACCTTCGTATTCAGGTAAACAGTTCCTTCCAGAGTCACGAAATACTCGTGATGTATCAGCTTCAATAATACATTTTTATATATTACATGAAACCGAGTCACAAAGCATTGCGAAATAGATAAAACATTAATTTGTTCTCACTAGCTTGAGTCTGAACTGTCGAATAATTTTCTATAACGCTTATGATTCTTGCACGATTAATAATTCCTTTTAGCATTGTTCAATTCTTTCAGTATCCTTACAGTTTACCACAATGAAGGAATGTTATAAAACAATTATAAATGTACCCTTACTGTAAATAATCAATCAGTTGTACATTATTGTCATTGATAAATGTATTTCAGGCAGCGGCATGGACGGTGGAATGCCAGGACCATCGCATGGCAATAGCGAGCTGAACCAGGAGCAGCAAGGTGAGTTAACATAGAGAAACATACATATATCAATATATATTTATTACTTATTTATAAAACGGTAGTGCGAGCACCATTACAAACAGCAACAACCTAGCCGTATACGCATCGGAGCCGAAGTACGAAAGTAATGTCTCGAAAAATGCGAGTAGAGAATCGGATTTCAAAAAAAGATATAAGAAATTAATAACCGTTGGAGAGGCGAGTGAGAGCGACAGAGTGCCAGAGAACGAGATGCAAAAAAAGTATTTAAAAAAAAAGAGAATACCGAAAATATACAATTAAATAGAAATAATAATTAAAAAAAAAAAGACAAGGAATCTTGACGGTTTGAAATGGTAAGCTCGTGTGTAGCTCGGTAGGTCTTGGTAGGAGGTAGGAGAACATTTGACACTCTCGGGGGCCACCGTATACATCCAAAACGCTGAGTACGCGCAATATTAATGCCAGTCGGGAAGTTGATTGAAGTAGAGGAATTAAAAAAAAGACAGAGAAAAAAGAAAACTATAAAATAATCGTAAAGAGCCAATGAAAAGAATCCAAGTTGCGACCAAAGCGGAGAAAAATTCGAAGAGAATGGAGTGTACTTGGAGGTAAAGAAAAGAAATTTAAAAAGTTACAAAAAAAAATAAAGAATAAAGCGACCACCCGGTACACGTGATGTCCGCAGAGTGCAGAATACGCGACGTATCAGCTGTGCTTGTGTGATGAGAGAACTGTAGTAGTACGTATAACGTGACGAACCTGAGAAAGTAAGAAAAATTGTCATGAGGAGGAGAGGGAGAGCGAGAGAGAGTGAGAGAGAGAGAGAGAGAGAGTGAGCGAGAGATTATAAGTAATAAAAGCAAAAGAAAAAAGAAAGACATGGGGTGGAAACGACACGGTAATTTAATTCACACGTTTCTCTTCATTTTCTTTATTTCTTCGACTGATCATAGTACACTTTGTGTGTAAATATATCCCGATTATTTTTTTTCACGCTTCGTACGGCATCCTTCATTTTGTTTTTGGTTAAATTAATTTTTTCATTCATTTTGACTCCTCGTGTCATTCTTTCTCCTTTTTTTCCATTTGTACGTCATTCTCATAAAATCCTTCGTTCTAACGTTCCTATCTTTCCATCTTGTTTTTTTGTGTATATTCGTGCGACTCGATCATTAAAATACATTATACGCACACGTTACATATGCTTGTTGAATACTTACATATGTACATCAATACAGCGCGCTTGTACATATATACTTGTGCATGATGTACCAAAAGTGTCTTTACGAAGTCCCCAAATCCGTTGTACATAGTGGGGACCGTGAGGACTTTTTGAACATCATTTTTTTTTTTTTTTTTTTGGGACCGATTGGATACTTGGGATACGTTATTTGCTTGACTGACGTAAAAAAGCTAGAATCGATGCAAGTGAAATCATTTTTTGAAGATTCTAATTTTATACAACAAATCCTAACACGTATTCTTAATACATGAGTAGTGACGTTCGATTGTACTTTTACTCCCTATAGTATCTATTAGATACATCCATGAAGTAGTAGTCTTGCCAAAATATTTGAGGAACAAAAAAAAAGGTATCTTCTTGATATAGACATACAGGAGTTCTCTTGCATTAATCCAGATGGCACTGGTAGCGTAGACCCAACATGTCCCAGTTATCTGATCTGTCCTACATACAAGATATCTTTCGAATATACAATACCTGTCTTTTTCGCAAATATACGTTTAATTGAATAACGACGTCCGATGCTTTCTCTAATTATGTAATGAATTTGACACGTGAATTGTAAAGTCTCGTGCCGAATCAGAAATGAGCATTCTCAATCAGACAGATGGCTCACTGTTGTTTCCACCTGGGATACAATATTCGAAATTCCTGATAACTTAAAAAAAAAAAAAAAAAAAAAAAAAAAAAAAAAAAAAATAATGAATTTGACACGTGAATTGTAAAGTCTCGTGCCGAATCAGAAATGAGCATTCTCAATCAGACAGATGGCTCACTGTTGTTTCCACCTGGGATACAATATTCGAAATTCCTGATAACTTAAAAAAAAAAAAAAAAAAATAATAAAAATAAAGCAAATAACTCGAAAGACATCGTGCATGTAAACGTGCTGTGCTTTTCTCCAATCCCATAACCCATCCTGATGCTACCGAGAGAGTCTAGAAGACGCGATCGGGCTGTGTAACTTGCTTGCTGGGAAGGGTAGCCATGGTGTAGCGTTCCATGGTATTGTAGCGAACCATGATGTAGAGAAAAAAATAATTAATCAATGATATCAACCCTGGTCCTAGAGTCCCGTCCCGTATCACGGAGTCGGTCGGTGCTAGGTCTGTCGCTGGTTGTTGCTGTCCTGTGGTGGGTGGTATCGTCTCGTTGTGTGTCAAAGGCCAAAACGACAGAATGAGAACTCATAGATAAAGACCCGGACCGACCGAAACTGACTGAGACACGGGTTGTATGTAGCGAATGCACGTTTTTTTTTTTTTTTTTTTTTTTTTTTTTTTTTTTTTTTTTTTTTTTTTTTTTTTTTTTTTTTTTTTTTTTTTTTTTTTTTTTAAATTGGACATTTTATTTGAAACGAATGGATGAAAGTTGGCACGTGACCTGTCGACTCGACTGATTTCCTGGATCTATGGGAATTTGAAAGTGGACGAAGACAAGTGAACATTGCGACTAATACGATTGGATTGGGTTTTGAAAAAAATTTTTTATTAAAATTCACCTTGAATGATTGAATCACGGCATATATGGTGTCCCTTTTATACATTTTGCACGTTTACCTCCTTTGCATATCGCAATTGAAAAACTCATGAAGATCGGAAACGATTGAGGTTTGTACATTGGGTATAGATTCGTGGGATTCAGAGGGTCCAGGATCAATGTGTAGTTTTTTTTAATAAAGTGAACGTTTTTATTTAAGATCTCACGTCCAAGGCAGGATCAGGCTGTTGCGTTGCAAGAACGATCAGAGATAATAGATCCTGGACCGGTTAGAAGGATCGAGGACGGCCAACGCGAGTCGACACGCAGTTCACAATTAAATTTGATCTTCAGATATTATGGTGATCCGTCTCTTTGACTTCCACGAACAATTGGCAATTCGACCATACCGACGACTGGCAGCATCCCAGTGACAGACAAAATACAGAACAGGACCTGGACCGACACAGACTGGACCGACGCGTACACGTAGAAAGATGAGAGAAGCGTGATTGGATTTCTTTTCTCTCTTTTTTTTTTTTTTTTTTATATCACAATAAAAGTTTGAATGAAATTTGAAAAAAAAAAAATAATAATAATGACTCGAACGATCGTACGAATGATCTTGAGTGCGTAGGTGAGACTGAGTGCTTGCTAGAGGGAGCCTGTAAAACGGGTCGTTGTTTTAAGAAGAACGTTGTTGGTACGTTATGGGAGCTGCGCTGCGCTGCGTTAGAGCAACCATTGTGTGTGTGTGTTGCAGCTGACCTGCGTAAACTGCACTCGCTGGACCCGCGACCCTGTCCCGTGTGCAACCGCATGTACAGTAACTTGTCGAACCTGCGCCAGCACATGCGCCTCATCCACAACCCTCAGAGTGTCACATGCCCTCTATGTAACAAGCCCTTCAAGACCAAGCTCTACCTGAAGCGTCACCTTGTCAGCTTCCACGAGCTCAGCGTGGCGGACCGTCAGCGCCAGGAGGAGATCTACCAGCATCATCAGGTTAAGGTTCAGGGTCAGGCGCAGAGTCCGGTGCAGTCGCAGCCGGACGTCAAGGGCCAGATTCTGCCGCTGTCGACGGCACCAGCGCCACCGCCGCCGCCGCGGATTCCCGCCACACTAGAAATCGTCGGCAGCACCGGGCCCGCTGCCGCTGGCGCTGCCGCTGGCGTTGCCGCTGGCGTTGCCGCCGGAACTGGCGCAACCGGTGGAAACTGTACGAGCGTTGCCGGCGGCGGTGGCGGCGGTACCGCTCAGAATCAAAGCCAGACGTTGTCCACCGCCGAAGGAAAGATCAGATCCTTTCAGACTGTCCCGGCCGAATCCGCTGTTTATACGCTCGACGCCGTGCAGTCTGACACGAAGCACTTTGCTGCCGGGATGATTCAGTTCAATGCCACCCACCACTAATGTATAGAGGATACCGACTTTAAAATTATCATTTATTTATCCGCCTTTACATTCGTCCTGGCTACGGACCAGTCGGCACGGTACGACAATGTATATCGAATCGACTGATCCGCCTGTGAATTCGAATCGCGAGCGATCCTTGGGACGATGCAAATATCAAGAAGATTTATATTTTCAATAATAGTGAGTCAGATACGGAAAAAAAAAAGGCAAATAGCATACCTGATAGGACAGATCTTTCTTTATCCCAAGAACGAAGAATAACTCTTCCGGCTTTTACAGATATTCATACAAATTTTTGGGATAACTATCCCGTCGTTACGGAAGCAGCGCGGACTCGCGATGCTTGACAGAGCTCGATAATCTTCCTGATTTTTGCGTCATCCTTCAACCGTTGTCAAAAATACTTTGGTCAAACGTCACTCATCATTACTGTACAGATCTATAAGTTTTTTTTTTCTTTAATCAACCATCGATCATACATTCTCGCAACAAGCGTGACTCGTACGCAAAATCACGGTATGCTCAGACACTCAAAAACAGTGATACACGTGCATGCCATCATCGTCGCCCAGTATAGTTTTGTGATATGAACACACAACACGTACGCGCATATATATATATAAATATATATATATATATAAATATATATATATATATATATATATATATTATTAGACAGAGCGAGAACAGAAAGACAGAGGCGACCGCGTTATACATAATACGAGACATAATTATTACATAACATTTAATTATAATCTCTCTTATGATTTTAGTGAACTTGTGATTCAATAGGGAACGTATATTTACCTTAAGGTAGCTAGGAATAACGCGCCTGGCTTAAGGCTGATTTCTGCGCCGACGCGACATCCCGCCACCT